TATGATGAAGAGTTGACCCCACGCCATTTTGTGCCCAGCGAGCACCTTGCTCCTGTGTCAACTGCCGTGCCAGCTCCACCTGTGGAAACTGATGCTCCCGCTGACGATGAAGAAGATCCTAATGACCCCGGCTATGCCCCTAGCTTTGCCGGTAGTGACCTTCCTAGTCCCTCAGAATTAGATGAAGTTCTAGACCCCGAGCCTGTTGAGGACGCTGCTGGGCCCTCTAGCGCGTCGGAGCCCAAACACCCAATGGATGATAAGCTTTTGGTAGAGCTAGCTGATGGTGAGCCGCCCAAGGATGAAGTTCTAAAGCAGCAAGCCACTAGCCCTGAACATTTGCGCACCCATTTTCCCAAAAATCCCTACTGTCCTTTGTGCCATATAGCAAAGGATACCGCCATGAGGGTTTCACATGTCAAAGATGGCAAAGCCGATGATTTTGTTGATCCCCCAAAGCAGCCGCTGGAACAGCTTGCTACTGATGATGTTATCTTAGCTAAAGGGTCCGAACACTTGGGTGTAGGTATAGGGGGAATAAGGTCGCATCATGTCATCCGCGATGCGTACTCTGGTGCGCGTGTTGCATACCCATTGTCCAAACGTACTGCTGACGCGCATGCTCGCAACTTTAGGCATTTCTTAGGATTGCGTGGATCAGAGCTCACCACCCGAACGTTCATCAAAATGGACGAAGCAGGCGAGCTTGAGCAGGCGGCACATGCCGTAGGCATGGTTCCAGAAACCTCGTTGCCGAACAGATGGCCCCACAATGCCATCCTCGAGAGAGATGTTCGAGAGGAGAAAGAATGTTGCCGCACTATTCACCTCCAATCTGGCCTTCCCTATGAGTATCACACATATAGCTATCCATATGCTTGCCTTTCAATGTCATTCGACAAGCCTTCAATAGCCGACCCCGACAAAACCCAATGGGAGTCGCTTACTAGGAATAAGTTTGATGGCATGAGGTTATGCTTTGGTCAGTTAGTGTATTACCGTAGGAAGTCACCCACCAAAAGGACTTTGGAGCCCAACATGTCACCTGGTCTGTTTTTGGGTTGGAGGATTGATCCTGGTTTCCGATATAGAAATATCTTAAGGGTGTTAGATTACCAAGAGTATCGCACTAGAGGTGGGAATTCATCCGTTGATGTTCCAGAAGCAGAAATCTTTGTCCCTGAAGGTGATCCTGTTTTTCCAGTAGGTTTTTCACGCCACCAAGCTATCATCAGGGGGGATAACCCAGATGATCTTAAGTTGCCTGAATATGCCTTAAAGGATGTGCCCTTCCCCAAGGAGGGCGGAATAGCCTCACCCTCTACACCAGGTCTCAAAAGTCGTTCTGTTTATATAACCGTAGACCGTATCCTTAAGTGGAAAGAGACCCCTGGTTGCAAAGGCTGCACTGGCCATTCGCGCGTGCACACTGATGAGTGCAGAGCCCGCTTCTCAATGTTGGTTGAAAAAGAAAAGGAAGCCGAAAAAGAAAAGAGAGCTCCACCACCCACAAGTGAGACAGAAGCAGAAGACAAGGATGATGAAGCACATGGCATCATCTTTCATGGTGAGGATCTGCCTGATCCCGATCCGATACCATCTCACCTCTCCGTAGAGGACAGAGCATTGGTTGAGGAAATCTTCATAAGAGGTGAGGTACCAGGGTCATCCGAACCCAGTGCTCCAGCCGAGCCTGCTGTTTCCGTTTCTGGTGTAGCTATTCTTCCCCAAGTTGCCAATCGATGTTCCGACCTATGTCAAAAATCGCTGCCTGTTTTTGGTTGCCCCGCTGTAGGTAAGCCAACTAACCGCGATAATCGTAGGAGCCGGAAAGCTGCCAAGAAAGCTTCCAGACCCAATGCCAAGTCAACCATGTTTGAATTTGCTTGTTCTGAGGACTCCCAGATGGGTTTTACTCACCAAGAATATGGCATTAATCATGTTAGACTTTGTAAGGACAGGATAGACCTGGGAGATGAGTCACAATGTGAGCAACTAGACTATCAGATAGATGAAGCCGCTAAGGTTGCACCTCCACATATGTGGGCCTCTATCCCTTGCACATCCGGATCCCCTTGGCAGTACATCAATAGGAAGAGGGGTGGTGCCGCATTCATTAGGAAGCTTGCCCACCAGGTCAAAGAGTCCAAACGGTTGTTTAAGAGTTTTTCCAAACGCGCTGAAAGGGTTCTCAATCATGGTGGTACTGTAACGTTTGAATGGCCAAGACCTTGCTCTGGCTGGAAAAGGCCTGACATTGTAGCATTCTTTGAGAAGCATCCCCAGTTTATGACCGTTGGTTTTGAAGGGTGTACCGTAGATTTGACCGACAGAAATGGTTATCCCATCAAAAAGCCATGGAAGCTCAAGACCACTTCTCCCCGAATTGTAGAGGCGTTTCAAGATATGCGGTGCCGATGCCAGCAACCTCATTCCAGATGTGAGGGAGCTGAGACCACTCGCTCCGCGATGTATCCGCCCCAAATGACTAGTTTAATTGCGCAAGCTTTGTATCCCTCAAAATGTGCCCAGCAGTCCGTTCCTGCTATGCCTTGCCGACCGACAACTAGCGAGCCTCAACCCCATAGGGAAATTGAGCAGCACCTTAAGCATGTATCCCCATTAGCTGGTTTTGAAGATTTAGCCCTAGCTGTTGAATCAGACCCCACCGCTAATAGGTTGGTTACAGAACTTCTTGACCATGAACAATTGATCGCCCAAGCCTTCCACCTGGAAGACCCAAAGGCGCCAACGCCTGAGATCAAGGCAATGGTCACTAAGCTCTTATCCCGTGCAGAGATGCTGTCCAATCCCAAAGCCCTCGAGGCAATTCGTGCCGAAGCCGACGGTTTGGTTAAGGCTGGTACTTGGGATCTTGGTTCCGTCCGCGAGAAGGAAGATGTACGCAAAGAAGCTAAGGCTTCGGGTGTGTCAGTGCACTTTGGTCAGCTCATGACCATCGCGTCCATTAAATTCTACGAGCTTGCAGACCACCTTCACAAAATGAAGGGGCGCATTGTGTACAGAGGAGACTGCGCAAAGGACGAACATGGTGCAGCCGCGGTTTACCAAGAACTCGGCGCAAATCCCACCTCCGTCCAAGGGCTAAACGCCTGCTTGGCGTATGGGTCGCTGCCGGGTAACCGCGCGACGGCTGCAGATGCAGTCAAAGCTTACGTCCAAGCACTGTTATCTTCCAAATACAAAACCTGGATTGAGCTTCCCCCGGAGCTCCGCCCTAAGTATTGGAAACAACAGTTTGTTAAGCCCGTAGTCCTCTTAATTAAAGCCTTATACGGTCATCCTGATGCCGGAGGCCTGTGGGAACAACACCTGAAAGTCATCATCAAGAACCTTGGTGGACAGGAAGTTCCAGAATACCCAGGAAACTTTTACTTCCCAGATACAAAGTTACTTCTGTCAACTTATGTAGACGATTTAACTCTAGCTGGCCCCGCCGACCAGCATGATGCATTCTGGAGCAAGTTAACTTCTGTGGTAGACATTGAACCCCCAGAGCCCATCTATAGGATTCTTGGACGCAACCATGTTGTTACCCCACTCTCCAAGACCGAAGGTCATGAAAAATGTGCAGCCTTCCAAGCCCAAGATGGCATGGTTTTTGATATGGCAGACTACGCTCAGCAGACCGTAGATTTGTATAAGTCAATAACTGGTGTCACCAAACTCAAGCATGCCGCCACGCCATTTCCACCTGAGGGATCCATCACCATTGAAGATGATGAAACTAAAGGGGAACTAGCTCCAAACGCATGTAAGATTTTGATGAAAGCCCTTTGGTTAGGTAGACTTGCACGTCCCGACATCATCAAGCCTATCAATGATCTGGCCACAAAGGTCCAGTCGTGGTCCAGGGGGGATGATAAGAAGGTCCTAAGATTAATCCAGTACATAGCCTCAACACCACACTACAGGTTAGTAGGTACCATTCAGGACAAGCCTGAAGACCTAGAGCTCAGACTGTTTGTCGATGCCGACTTCGCCGGCGACAGATCCACTGCACGCTCAACCTCTGGTGGCTTTTTGGTTTTAACTGGCCCTAGTTCCTTCTTCCCACTTGCATGGATTAGCAAGCGCCAAACATCCACTTCTAGATCGACCACGGAAAGCGAGGTTGTTAGTTTAGCCCATTCGCTTTATCAAGAAGGCTTGCCTGCCTTACAGTTATGGGAGCTGTTGCTTGCACGCTCCGTAACCCTTAAGGTCCACGAAGATAATCAAGCAACAATCCTAGTTGTGAAGAAAGGATATAGTCCCAAGCTTCGCCATATAACTAGAACACACAAAGTTAATTTGTCTTGCCTGTCTGAAGTCTTCAGAGATGACTCTGCCGAAATAGAGTACACCCACACCGACGACCAGGCGGCAGACATATTCACCAAGGCATTGCCTCCACATAAATGGGCAGCAGCACTAATCCTTCTAGGAATCCGTACTGACCTCCCATTAGACCTTAAAGCCAAAGCATAGGTCGCTGTGAGCGCCCGTTCACGCGACAGTAGTTGCTTAGCTCACTGCCAATGCGCAGTATGTGTGGAACAGGCGAGGGGGGAGTTGAAATATATCGACCCCTGAGCCCCACTATGTATAGCATAGGTAGTAGGTCATATGTAGAGCACTGCCATAGCTATGAGTCCATTCAATTCCAATGTAGCTATTCCCAATAATGTACAGAATAGCACCCCTTACCTAAAAGCGGTAGGTAGGGAGAGTAGCCGTAGTGAGAAGTAGGTACACCATTCCCCCACCTAACAACAACCTGGTGGGGTAACTATGTACGCTATGGACACTTGGCTCAAGTGCGGAAAAGTTCCGTGCTTGTCTTGTTTGTTTCATGCAGGGTTTGTTGAATCAGGTTCCCTTCTTTTTGCGGGTCTCTGTTTCTTCCCCCTGTTCGACTTTAGTCACATCCATTCACCAGCTATTTTAAGGTACTGTTTGGGTACCAGAGTCCCAAGTCATCACAGCTGCAGCTGCCCATGGAGAACGTGAGTTGGGCCTCGTTGTTGGGAAATCTGAGCTGTGGCCAAGTAGAGGGTGTCTGCAGCACCCTGGTGGAGGCGGGAGCCGGTGTCCGGTGGAGGATGAGGTGCTAAACAAGCAATGAATGTGCTGATTGGTGAATCAACAAAAACATTGGGGAGATAATGATCAAAAATTGTGATTCAACGGTGTTTAATAGTGACATGTAGTGACTTGATGGGGGTTTCATGGGGTTTAATGCTGGTTTTCTGGTGAGTAAAAGGGGCGCAATGACGATTGAATTTAATTGTGGTTGCATGTGGGTATATGATTATTATCGAAGGAAGTTTAGAAGCCAAACTTCCGACAATATGGACAGATGGAAGAGCAGAGGTGGGAAGAGGCAGAGAAGAGAGGAGAGGAGAGGAGAGGAGAAGAGAAGAGAAGAGAAGAGAAGAGAAGAGAAAAAGTCAGAAGAAAGAAGATGCAGGTGCGGGAAAGGGTTGAAAAGTTGCGAAGGATTGTGTTTTTGCTCGCTAAAGCGGCGGGTGCGGAGCCATTTGGCCAGATGAGAGATGAAAACTTTCACGCCGTTGTAGCACGAAGCACGTTTGGAAGTAAAAATGTGCAAAACACATCATTCTCGGACCGCTTTTGGAAGTTGAGATGTCGAAAAAGTGCACGCCATTGCGGCGCGAAGCACATGTCGAAGTCAAAATGTGCAAAGCACACCAACGTCGGAGCACTTTTGGAAGTTGACATGTCGAAAAAGTGCCCACCGTTGTGGCGCGAAGCACATTTCGAAGTCAAAATGTACAAAGCACACTAGCTGCGGAGCACTTTTTGAAGTTGAGATGTCGAAACAGTGGACGCCGTCGTGGCGCGAAGCACATTTCCAGGTCAGAGTGTTAGGGAGCACCGCATGCTCGGACTGCTTTTGAAGGTTTAGATGTGGTTTTGCGTGGCAGGCACAAAGGATTCTGCACCTTGCCAAAAGTGAGCAAAGCGTGAGGGTTTTGTAGTATTTCCAAAAACGATGGCAGGCGTGGGACATGTGAAGAGGATCTGGAAACAGCACAAAAGACATGTTCATCAGAGATGTTAGGAGGTCAGGGTGCTGATTTCCTGAGAGGGGTTGCATTTTGGAGCATCAGATCTTCAGGTTTGCTAAGATGATTTCGCGTGACAGGTGCAGCACTTCGTATGACCTGGCGTCACTTTTGCGTGGCAGGCGCAGCACTTTACACAGATGGAGTGGAAAAATCGCAGAACGCATTCGGACGAGGCCCGTCAGCTTTGCACTCAACTTCCCATTTTTGAAGCACGTCTCGCAGAATTGTTTCGATTTTGATGTTGTCAACTTAAAAAATGGGGAAGTCTCGCAGAATTGCTTCGTTTTGACGTTGTCAAGTTCAAACATTGAGGAAGTCTCCCAGAATTTCTCGTTGTGGATGTTGTCAAGTTCAAAAACTGAGGAAGTGTCGCAAAATAGCTGCATTTTCAAGCTTGCAGATAGACAGGCAGATAGACAGATAGACAGACAGACAGATAGATAGATAGATAGATCGATGGATAGACAGCCACAACTACAACTACAACTACAACACCATTACACAACACAACACAACATAACACTACACTACCCTCCAGCTACAGCTACAACTACAACCACAACCGCAACTACACCTACAACTACAACTACACTACATTACACTACACTGCACTAGTTACACTACACGATGCTACGCTACACTACAACTGCAACTGCAAGTATAATTACAACTGCAACTGCACTACATTACACTACATTACACTACGCTACACTACACTATACTACACCCACAACTACAACGACAACATTAACTACAACCACAACTACACCTACAACAACTACAAACTACAACTACGTTACATTACACTACGCTAATTACACTACATTGCCCTGCAACTACAGCTGCAACTACAACTGCACTTCTTGACACTACACTGCTTGACGCTACACTACACTAGGCTACGCTGACACTACACTATACTACACTACAGTACACAACACTACAGTACACTACGCTACAGTACATTACACTACACTAATTAAAGCACACCAAAACTACAACTGCACTGCAAGTACAACTACGCTACACTAATTGCACTACACTACAGCTTCAACTCCACTCCACTCCACTCCACTCCCCTCCCCTCCCCTACCCTACCCTACCCTACGCTACGCTACACTACACTACACTACGCTACGCTACGCTACGCTACAATACACTACACTACACTACACTACACTACACTACACTACACTACACTACACTACACTACACTACACTACACTACACTACACTACAACAACAGCTACAACTACAACTGCGCTACACCACACTACATCCAGCAGTTGTGGGTGAGGTGGCCACTGCAACCATTGCAACCATTGCAACCATTCCAAAAACACACAGCTCCAACCACCTTTCGGTCCATCAGTGGATTCGCTCTGCCATTCATGCATCACAACAATGCACCTCTCCTATAGTGTCCTATCCTTGAAACTTCCGCCACCGCCTTGTGCGGCACTACTGGTAATATATTGGGATTTAATTAACTAACAAAGATTGGGTATTTAGCCAGCAACCATGGTGATTTAGCTGGCTATACATGGTGAAAATAGATGAACATCATAGGAAGATTTAAGTTAAGCAGCAAAAAACACGTTTTGTTCATCAACATATTCACAACATATCGCAGTTCAATAACAACTTGCTGTAGCCACACAACAAAATATTTCGATAGTCAAGGAGATTGGGTTCCAGTAAAAGTTGGGATCAAACCTGCAATCGCTCGGATTTTACCCTTGCCCAAAGCGGGTTTCTGTCAGGGCGGCGGACGGAGTTGGTTTACTAGTTGGTAAATGGATGACACTGAGATACCGTGAGCCCTGAACTTGGGGATATGGTGCGATCAAATATGGCCAGCTTCCCCGACGCAAACGGGAGGCTTACTCCATGGCCTCGCCAATTATCTACCCTGGCAATGGAAATACTCCATCCACAGGTGATTTTACTGTTGGACCTGGTGATGTACCTCGGGCCAACTGGTTTCTGGCTATTTTTGACCTGGTAATTTGCTCCAATCTAATATATGTAGCCACTGAAAATGGATGACAATGGCCATGTTTAATAGCTTATATCACCTACAGATGGCTAAAATTTCCATGACTATATCAAATTGCCAGGCCATATTTTGTGGGGATATTCTCTTACATAGGCTTTCCATAGACCTTGCATAGATCGGTACATCTGATTTCAGTAGAAAGACTGGATCAGCCTTCAGGAGGGACCTATCTCGGGCTGGGAGCTGGACGTCGCTTCGGTATCTCGAGCTGCGCTGCCCAGTGATCCCCAGTGTAGGTTGGTCTATAAAACCATAAAACCAAGTGTAGGTTATAGCTATTATGATAATATGGTAAAAAACTATAATAACTATAGTTTATTACTCATAATAATACTATAGTAAACTATAGTTATCATGAGTAATTACGCTAGTTATACCATGTTATACCCCCAGAAGTCTAAGGTAATGGGTCATTGAACTTGCCACCTCAAAAGGTGAACATTGGCTTTTCGACCCTAGGGGCCTCGCGCGAAGTCTCTGAGCTTCTTGTGTCATCAAGCGGATGGTGACGAGGAGGTGGGAATCTTTTTGGTGAAGATGGGACCATTCCCTGGGATTCAACGTTTTTATGAATGGTTTATTTAACATAGCCACGGGAAATGGCCCATTTATAGAGGTTTACCTATTAAAAATGGTGATTTTCCATGGCTATGCGAAATAACCAGATGGTATAGAATGGTTGATAATGGTAAATGGTGAATAATGGAAAATCATCTGGACATGGGCCTATTGATGGATTATTCGTGATATTTTCCCTAGGGTACACATACAAAAGGATGTGGAAAACACCATGGTGGAAGCTGTTCGGAAAATGACGTACATTCAATGCTGGGTTTTCCACATTTATGGCAATGTTTGCAGGAGGGTACCCATTTGCCATCTGGTAAAAATGGTGATTTACCTATTAAAAATGTTGATTTAATGGGATTTATTAGGATATATGATGGTATAGCATCTGGTAATTTAACGCAGCTATGGAGAATGGCCCATTTAGTTCGATGATTTACCTAGTAAAACGTTCTTTTCCATATAGCTTAAATTACCAGAGGGTATCTTTAAAGTCGCACCGAAAGAATCCGAACAATGAAGGGCTATAGATAAAGATGGAATATCAATAGGGATATAGATACGGATGGAATATCAGTGGGATATTTAGGGATTTAACTGCCAGTAAAAAGGAATATCATGTCAACCCTGGATTAATAAACCCCTAGGCTGTTTAATTGGGAGGGTACCATTTAAGTATTAGATTATGACTATTGGAGGAGTACCCCCCGAATTAATACACCATGGTTTAGCAAAATCTGGGGTTGAAATGAATAGAGATTCAAAAACCCTCGGTGCCCAAACAATCAACCACGACGTCACATGGGTCGGTTGAATCCCCATGGAATCCCTATGGAACTGCTAATTTTTAGAGGACAGGATTGTTTCCCAACCCCCCGTTTTGGCAGGGTCTCTAAAATATATTAGTTTGGGATGGGAAGGGGATGGGGGTCACTGTGAGTCACTGGGGTCACCCAAATGAACTACCGCACTTGGTGTCTGAACTTGCAAGAAGATCTTGGTGTACCTGATCCACTACTGAGTTAGAAGTTTTAAGATCTTGAAAGGTATGCGTCATATTGCGTCATCGGCATGAACGGCTTTAAATAATGATCTGCCGGTCAAGGTGGTCAAGATGCACACCTTCTGGGACCTTCCAACTAGTTACCCCATGGAAAGTCACCAAGTCCCAAACTTCAGATCGAGTCAAGTAGTGACACTTTGAGCCGAACCCAAGTCACCAAAACGGCCAGCACATGCGAAACCCGCATTTTTTGCTGTCATGAAATCATGGTGTGCGTTTTCTGATGGTGTCAGGCATTCTGAAGGATTGCCGTGGGTCGATCGTAGATGTCCTATTTCCCGCCGCCAGGAAATTCCTTGGGCGGACGAAGTCTTTGCTGAAGAGAGACTTGGATAACTAGTCCTGCGAGGGCTGTTACCCTGTCCGAAACACAAAGCAATCTCTACCAAGGCCGCAGCCAATGATACTCGTTTTTTTGCTTGTGCTGTGGATTTTTGCTCGTTTGAAGAAAAATTAACAGAGGGGTTCTGTTCATTGTCACTTGGGGTTGCTACAGTTTTTGAATTTTAGGGCTTTTGCATGTTTTTGTGGATGTTTCAGCATATTTTCCGCTTTTTGCGGGAATTTTTGCTTGAACCGCTATCTCATCACATCAAACCAGTAAACCTGTTCTCAGTCGATCTGGTGTCTTGTAGCGAAGAGAAACTGGGCAGAACTTGAGAAAAGTGCCCGAAACAGAAATTTGCGCTACGAAATGGAACGCGTGTATCGACCTATCAGTCTTTGCATCGAATGACCACATAGGCGAAAAAAAGGGTTACGTTGGAAAGTCCTGGTATAGTTTCAGATGTTGATTTGCAACATGATTGACCGCATCTGTGGATCAGGGACTTGCTGCAAGTGAACCCCCCGGTATCCTTCTTGCTTTTGGGTCAAGCAAAGCACATCGCTTGGCTTCCACGGCTTTCTTCGTGGGAGCTTCCCAAACTGCCGGGCTGGGGTTTTCGCCTTTTTGCCGTTTTCACCGTGACCTTTCCCTGATTTCTGTGAGGTGTAGCCGGGTGTAGCCGTAGCCCCCCCAGTTGCGAAACATGGATCTTAGATGACCCTGCTATGATTTGGGCCAGTTTGATACCGAACTTTGTGCGCAACAAGGATGCTAATTCGACAATTTTTTCTCATCAGTGGATTGGTTTAAGGGAAGATTGTCAGGAACCCCTCAATATTTCTTCGGAAAAACCATTGTTTCCTGTAGATTTTCCCTTAAATCAATCCAGTGAACAGTGAATATTGTAACATTTTCATACATTTTCCAGGTTTCGAGTTCTTTCCTACCGACTTTTTGGGACGTGCTTGGGAGCTTGGGAGCACCGAGGCAGAAGCCCCTGCTGCAGAAGCTGCATCAGGCCGGCTGCGTCAAGCTGCAGCGCTTCGACGCCTACGTCACGTGGTGAGTGCGTGGGTTGGGACCGATGGGGTGCTTACCCTCCAATCAACTAACATAGCTATGGAAAATCAACCATTTATACCATTTATAATAGATGATTTACCCAATTTACCCATTAAAAGATATTAAAAGTGCTGGTTTTCCATAGCTATGTTAGTTTACCAGAGGGTAAAACCAGCATTTCATCTTAATCGATTGCATCTCCTACATCCACCCTGGTTTCTGGGTGGAAAAGCCAATCGATATTAAGACATCATTTTTGCCGGTTGAACCTGTGGCAAACGGGAGCCAAAAAAAGTGAATATGACTTACTTACTACTTGGTAAATTTAGTCACCGAGTAACTATAGATCCTTAGTTAACTACTTCGTCACCTAGTTACTCATTCATTAGTTGCTGAGCTACTTAGTTAGTTCAGTTCGGCACCTAGCTACTCATGAATCAATCCCCCTTTAATGAGATAATTACTCCATTAGTTAGTTCATTATTTCACCACTACTGAGTCAATCCCATCCCCCAAAAAACAGTTCATTAGTGAATTGGTTCATGACTTTATGTTCATCCCGTTGCCGAGCTATGCCAAATGCTTCCCAAACTTGGCGCGCAAGCTCGCTCCAGGTGAAGCGCGTGGTGACGCCCTTCAGTCGTCCCACACCCGAGGCGCGAGCCTTTCTGGGAGAAGAAATGCCTAAAAATGTGGAACTGGTCATGACCTGTGCGCCTTGGAACCAGAACGGAAGCTGATTGGGATTTCATGGGATCCAGGAGGCATTCAATTGGGATTTCACGGGCAAACACGGGGATTTCATGGGATTTCACCAGCAACCATGGGGATTTAATGGAGCTGTAAACCATTGTAAACCATAATGCTGGGTTTATAACGACCTCACTACGACCAAACCCTGGAATCATGGGAATTGTAAGGGGAATCATCCCCAAATAGCCTTATTTATAATTCACTCAGATAATGGGACTGTAATGAGAAGAATGATGATTAATGATTGGCTGATGAGGGTTGTTGATGGTTGATTAAGCAACAAACATCAGGTTGTAACCATTGAAATGGGGGATATAATGGGTAATTTTATAGCCAATATAGACCACTGGCTGGTGGTTTCAAATATTTTTCTTTTCAACTCCTGATAGAAATGGGATGATGATCCCCAATCACGTTTATTTTTTTGGGGGGCATGACTTGAAACCACCAACCAGTAATATATATATATACAGGTATATTTTCCCTCTGGTTAGTTGAGTAGTAGAAGGGTCGCGCCCCTATTGAACACCAGCTAAATGACATTGTTATTATTGTGATTGTTGGTAGTGTGCCTATGTTTTTTCCAGAACAAACATAACACACACATATATATATATTTACCCTTTTGAAATGTATGTTTGCCATAAGACCAGCTGATGTGTCTTCTGCTTGCAAGAGGTGTATGCATGCATCTCTATATGTATGTATATATATATACATAGTGATCCTAAGGTAGATAGAATATTTTTTTGGAGGGTGCGGTGCGGGATTCATGTTGGAATTATGTTGGATATTGGCCACTTTAAAAAAGACTAGTAGTTGGGATATGATATGTCGACCGCCCCCCGGGGAGGTCGAAAACTGGTAGTTGGAATATGGTTTGGAGGGGTAGATAGAATATGTTTGTTCAAAGTGGCCCATTCACAGAATGCATAACAGCTGCTGTGGGGTCTGTGCGTGGTGTTCACAATTCCCTGAAAATATTCTATCTACCTGGTTTGAAACAATATTCTATCTATTTTTTTGATATTCTATCTATTTTTTTGTGTTTGTTGATCTTTGTGTTTTTTCAATATTTCTCCAGACCCGTGTCCAAAATTGGCTAATCATGACTTTGACAGGGACGAAAAACGTGGAAGAACTGAGGGTTTTGAACATATTCCAACTTTTTTTTGAAAATCAGGATTGAAAATGTCCGATATTCTATCTACTCCAGGATGACTATATATATATATATAACATAAAATAATATATAGTCTATTGATCCCCTCAACTACTTGGGGTCTTGGATGGGTACCCCTTCAGGACTCCTGGATGCAGGGTCTTTTCTATGTTCATACCCAAAGTAGACCCTGTAACATGAGACATCCAAGACCCTGGGCTATTCAGGTTAACTTTTGGCCCTGCGTTACCGATGTTGCGGCAGGTTATGCCGGCTTGGAAGTTTGAATTTGTGTTTAGACCCTTGGTATCACATGCACCCAGCTCATCCCAGTTCACCAGGGATATTGAGCCCCCAAATCCCATGATGTAGCATCGCGTTCACTTTTCTCTTGTAACCCTTTGTTGCCTCCGTCTTTGCTTGCTTTCCCTCTTCTGCCACATGCGTCAAAATCTTCATGCTTTCTTGCAGGAGGCCAGCGTGATGGGGTCTAGAACGGTGTGACTGTACGTGGGGTGGGCGCCAAAAACACATAGCCTTTCCAATGACATTATAGTAGACCCAAACTACTTGGTAGAAGCCTACTTTCTTTCTCACTGCCTATTCATGTCTACCTCACGGCTTCTTTGAAATCCAGCCACCAATCATTGAGTTCTATCATCATAGACCGTTCCAAAATCTGTTGCAGTGCTCGTTTGCGGAATAGATGAAATGAGGAGGTCTAGAATGGTGTTGCCTGGGGTGGGCAGCCCACAAGCACAAAAAAAAGTCCAATGATATCAAAGTAGACCCAAGCTGCTTGGTAGAAACTTACTTTTTCTAGCACACTACCTACTCATGTCTACCACTTCTACTTTCCAAATGCATCCACAAACGGCCACAAATTATTCAGCTTTACAATCATAGATTCCAAAAAACTGTTGCATTGCTTGTTTGCAGCATGGATGAAATTGGAAGGTCTAGAATGGTGTTGCCTGGGGTGGGCAGCCCAGAAGCACATATTAAGTCTAATGACATCAAAGTAGACCCAAGCTTCTTGGTAGAAACCCAAATTTGTTCAAGCGCTGCTTACTCATGTCTACCAGTTCCTTTTTCAAGATTCAACCACCAATTATTAAGCCGGATACAATCAGATAGAATGCCAGAAACATTATCAGAACATATGCCACAGAAAGAATGTCAGAGTATATTCCAGGTAGAATGCCAAAAACAGCTCCGCGCAAAATGTCAGAAAAATGCCAGGTAGAATTCCAGATGATATGTCAAGACGATGTCAGGGTTTATCGTCATAGACCGTTCCAAAAACTGTTACAGTGCTTGTTTGCAGAATAGATGAAATGAGGAGGTCTAGAATGGTGTTGCCTGGGGTGGGCAGCCCACAAGCACAAAAAAAAGTCCAATGATATCAAAATAGACCCAAGCTGCTTGGTAGAAATTTAATTTTTCCAGCATTCTACCTACTACTGTCTACCACTTCGTTTTTTCAAAATGCACCATTAAACTTTATCCAGATAAAGCTAGGGGGTATGCCAAAGAGCAAGAGCGGCAGATCTGACAGAGAGAAAGGACGGAAACAAATTGAGGGTCTGAAGAAGTTTTACTTCATTTTTTTGAATCTTGATGTAGAGTAGACCCTACATGATACGTAACATGACTCGTAACATGAGGCATTCCAGACCCCACTCCAGACCTTACTGTTATTTTCATGTTAATTCGGTAAAATTAGAGTAGACCCTTGCCTCCAAAACAGGCAAAAGGTCTATGATCAGACAAGAAAATCTCGGGAAACCCTCAGGTAACTCCTAAAAAGACCCGGGTTTTAGGGTCTGAAATACAATATCCAGGGCCCCTGCCAAGTAGCTGAGAGTATGTCTATTGTAATATAATATAATTTCATACAATATAAAAATATGCAATATAATAATATAATAAAATGCAATACAATATAATATAGCATAATAACATATAATATAATATAAACATATCAAAAATGCAATATAATATAATATTAGATAATAACGTATAATACAATATAAATAAAAATATATAGTATAATATAATATGAATAATATACATATGCAATGTCAAGATATGCGGATTGCTTTGGGCGATTTGTTTTGGAATATCTTTTTTTTTTTTTCCGCAATGTCTTGGAAATTCAAGCACCCAGGGCGGTGACCACCCCAACAGCCAATAGGGCGGGTGATGGTTAAATCCTCAACACCAATGGAAACGTAGACAGAACCAACGCTGAATTCAGAAACAATCAGGGAATCCTCATGAAACTGGAAATAGAATTCATCTAATCAGTGAACCTGGAAGGAAATTCAGAGAGTTTTTATCCCGTATCCCTGAAGATGGGGTGACGCTTCTTCCCCAAATTCGGCAAGACTTGGCAGGCAAATCACGTTGATTCAGAAGTTGGAACAACAAAGGTATGTCCAACATACCAAAGTCACCCAACATATCAAGTATTCTCCATGGTTGCCTTCATTCTCCATATTAATGAGTTTCACATTGGGTCACAATCAGAAACCATCCCAAGTGATGCAACCATCAGGAAAATTCAGGAAATATAGCAATCCCCAAAAAGATATGGGATTTCTTAGGGGGTTCACTGGTGATGTATGGGGTTTTAGAGGGATTAACTTGGGATTTCATCAGCAAACGTGGGGATTTCATGGGACTCTTACCAAGAAACTGCGGGGTTTGAACGATAGAAAAGTAAGTTATCCCTATTTTTCAGTCGGAATTTCCCAAATTCGGCATCTTTTTGGTCACAAAACAGTCCTTCGTCTTAGGATCCCCCGCATCCGGACTTAGGATCCAGTGGTCTGCGGAGTGGTGGTGCCCTCGGATGAGGCCATCGTTCGGGCAGAGGTGGAAGGTGTTCCCTTCGAAATCGTCGCCACCTGGCGAACCTAGCCGTTTTTCGGCTGTTTATGCCTCGTTCACGAAATCATCGAATCAAATGGGCCATCTATACCATAGCAAAGTGTTAGTTTATGTTAGTTTACTGGATATATATATATATATACATTATATATATATATATACATTATATATAGATATACATTATATATATACATTATATATATATATATACATACAGTGTATATATTGGTTATGGCTGGGTAGGAAACACATGGTTTCTCTAACCACTGAGCCGATGCCAGCTTGGATGTGGCCCCCAAGATTTTTTCTGCCTGGCAAGCCCATAAGTTTCCCCTTCAGAATTTGATCTACCATCTGGTTATTTGACATAGCTATGGTATAGACCAAACATTATGTTTTAGCTCTTTAAAATGGTGATTTTCCACAGCTACGTTAAATAACCAGAGGGTACACATGCTTATTTTTCCATACCTATGTTCATTTGCTGGAGGATAAACAATAGATTCAAAAAGTCGTGATCTGACCAACCAAACATGTGGATTGAACCAATAAAACGGTGGTAATGTGGGACCAACTAAGCGACCTCACAACGATCTGCCCATGGTGAATATCAAGAGGGACCACCCCAAAAAGCGGCATCCATTTCAGATTTGGGAACCGTTGCAACCAGATCCAAATGTTGGTGAAAATTGGAGGAACCATCATGAAATGATGGGTTTTCAACGGCAGTACGGGATTCTTTTACACATCCCAGTGATGAAGGATAGAAAGGCATGCAATCCAGTGACAACGTGTTTCAGAGGGTCAGTTTGATGGCCTTCAAGATCAATCAAGCTTGGGACTTTTCTTTCGTTTAATGATGGTTGGATGGAGGGTTTCCCATGAATTCCCAATTAAAACCTTCAAGATCCATGGGAATGAGGTGAGGTGAGGCTTTCGAATGATGATCCCCATCACAGACAGCGTTGGTGTGCTACGAATCGTAAGTGGCCAACAGTCAATCGACGGAGTTTTTTTGGACTTTCCTTAGTGTGATATGGGCCATATATAGATAATAGATATAGATACACAATGATACACACATATATGATACATACGGTATATTTACATATGGGCTTTCATAACAGGTTCTAAGCCACTTACAGTAGGACTTGGGTCCCCTCACTGAGGCTCGAATTCCCTTTTCCGCCAAGCCTGGGCAGATCATTCAGTTGAACCTGGGCGCGCCATCGGAGCTGCTCGGTAGACGTCCTGGGGCCACCTGAGGGGCAGAAACTTCACCATGAGGGGTTTGATTCGCTGGCGAAGCTGGCAACCTGATTTGAAGCACAATCTGATTGTAGATCTTTGGCTTGTTTTGGTCCTCACCTGGGATCCAGGTACTTCGTGGAAGTACCGCCAGGCCCGGTTTGGGGCCGTGACTCCCTGGTCGACGGAGAGAGAGTGAGAGACTGGATCGGTTTCAGGAGACACATATGCAGGTTTCTTTTTTCATGTGTTTCCCATGTTTTTTTTTCGAGTACATACGTCCGTACTGTAACTTTCATCCAATCCTTGGAGTAGCCTCTACTTCAGCCATGGACCACCATTTTTTTGATAGGCCATGGCATGCCATCATGCCATGGCTATATTTTTGGCTTCCGTGGCTATGCTATGTTAGCAGAGGGTAACTGCCATGGCTTCCTCCGCCAGGTTTTCACGGTGGTGATCTCATCCCATACTGGGACTGCGACGGCCGAAGGCTGGAGTTGAAAGTGCCGGCGTCTTGGTGGACGTCATGCCATGGGGCGTAACAGGACAGAGGTGAAGCCACAAAGACAGACTAACAACGAGGGAAATAGGTGATACATGATAGATTGTATATATATATATAATAGTCATGTTTATAATACATGTATAAATGATATTAAATGATTATAGATGCATACTCAGGGTTAAACATCGACGCCTGTATGTTTATATGTATGTATACAGGTGTAGACGTGTGTAGATATTTCGTGCTATTTGATCTGCCTCTGTGTCGCAACGTGCAGGATGGTCATCAAGGAGAGTCATGATACCCAGCAAGTCCCCCTTATAGTATATAGTGAACATAGTCCTTGACATGTGTATCTATATTTATGATATATAGGTATCTCTGACTCATGATATATCATGATGTATTATGATGATACCCGAAGGTATATCATGATATTTGTACTTATCATATATGTATGATATATGAAATGCGAAAGGGAACCAGGTAATACAACCACTGCACATGCTGAGCATGTAAACAATTATGCATGGACTGCCAATCACTTGGCTCAAGTCATGCGCGAGGAAAAAGACTGTTCTCCGAACGCCATGCAGCGACGTTGCCCTGCACTACTAGCATAACCGGTACTACAATCAAAAGGGATAATCCAGAACAAGGATCAAATTGTTCACAGGTTATCAGCCGTAGGGCTCACTTCTCCCGCCGGGAGAGTGGTACCTGCGTGCTGGTAGCCGGGCCTTCTGAGCAATTGATTGAGGACGCAAAGGACCAATCAGCTCATCATCGCAAAGATGCAAGGCGGCAGCGGAGATTCGCGCACCACGCAGTTTACCTTCAATGAGAACACTGCCATGCCGGTCGAGGAGGTCAATCAATCTTCCCCTGGTGACACGGCAGACAGTGGTGGGATACGCTCTACCCGAACTACACAGTCCGGATGGCAAGTCACGTCAAACAGACGAAGGATATCAACTCAAAGTACACCAAGATCTTCTCGAAACAGTGCTCGAAGTGATGTTGTCCGCCAAGGGCATCGACCATCTCGAGGACGAACTACTCCAAGGGACAGATCCACCAGGGCCGTGACCGACCGAATTGGTGAGAGGACCGGGGATAGTCGTGTTAAGAGGAGATCAACGGATACTTCTGTGGCTAGTGAACCTATTGCCATGATAGAAGAACTACGGGCACAATGTCAATCCCTACGTAATCAGTTGAACCACATGGAAGCATACGCTGCATCTAGAGATCAACTGATTCATGACATCGAGATCAGATTCACTGAGTATCTTCAGGAACACAACCAAAATGTATTTGATGAGGTCGGTGCACTCAATCATAGATTATCATGTTCCGCAAATGAGGTTGCAGAATATCAAGCAGAACTAATGGTAGCATCTCAGGAAGACGAAGGTGCAACAATACGCATCCAAGACCTTGAACGCCGAGGTGCCCTAATGGAACATGGTGCACGACGTATCCATCAACGTGGTATGGAAATCCAGGAGGAGTACAAGGATGAAGTACATCACCTTCAAGGACTATTGGGTAATACGGAGGCAAGACTGCAACAACTTCATCAAACCAATGTCTTAACCACCGATATTGCCAATCGACTATACAATGAAGGTCAAGAAATGCAGACAGACTTCCAGAACTCAATCATGGAATATCGTAATCGATCCGAAATAGCATCCTTCTCTAGCAACCAACTCGAAGTGATTAGCCAACAACAATCAATTGCAGTTCATGAATTATCTGAACGGAATCAACTATTGAGTGAAGCTTTGGTTCAGTCTCGTAAACAGGCCGAGCTGTATGAAAGCAGTATCGACGAGATCACTAGAGAATCTAGGAAGAAGGTTTTCGAGGCAAATCAGGCCAAATTGGAAAGTGATCTGAAGCATCGAAACACTGAACATGATACCGTCAGAAGAATTGCATCATACAGGAACCAAGAGGCCGAAGCAATATCACACCTGAGGCTTGAATCACAGGCTAGTGCAAACTCGATCGCAAGGGCAGAGCACTATGAAGAGCTCTATGCTAACGAGCAGGAGGTGAACTGCGAATTAAAGGATGAGATCAAGTTGCAGAACACGAAGTTGCGAAGATCGCTGACTCAGGGTACTACGACCGACGGTCGTGGCCCCGATGAGATGCTTGTTGAAGATCTACGTAATCAAGCCAAAATCGTTCAAATCAGGGTTCAGGACCTAGATCATGAAGTTCATGAATGTTTACAGGAGAACATATTGTTAAAAGAGAGATTGGCTGAAGTTGCGGATGTAGGGGCGTCGTCCCTCACCAATGCTGAGGTCCGAACTCTAAAATCTGAACTAGAGAGTGAGCGCAAAATGAAGTTGGCTAGTGGTGTTCAACAGTATGAGAGATCATGTATGTTCATGGGGGAAATCCAGGATAGGGATGAAAAGATCGGTATCAAGAATTCTGAGATTGTTGACATGAAACGTCACTTAGATGAACTGAGAAAGAGTCTCAAGGATTCTGAAACATCTATATCTAGGGTCAGCCCTGACACTCTTCCCTATTCGGCAGGCATTCCCAACTACGATCTCGCATCAAGACTAGTCATCGACAAACTGGAGAGTGACGTGAGTGAGGCTAACTGTGAAAACGCTATTCTGAAGTCTTGGGTTTCGCAGATCGACAAGGAGTTGAACTATGAGACAAATGTGGCTCATTCCTATCGTGAACACGCTGTACCTCCTCAACGACAACCTTCTCAATCAAACAAAAGAATCACTGATCTGCTGAAAGAGGTGGACAACAAGATTGCTGATGGAACTGAGAGGGACTACTACAAGCCACCGAGTGGATGGGGCGGTCCGCCTGACCCTGATGGACCTCCTGACCCTTTCGGACCTAACGGTCCAGGACCACCTCCTGAACCTCCAGGCTTGCCTTCAGTTCGAGGGTCACAACGCGATTCAGCAGATGATGTCTCCACAGCGGCTTACACTGCAGAAGAAGTGCCGAGAATGTCAAGACGGGAAGCTGACAAGGTCTATGTTAGCCCATGGCCGAAGCAACAGAATCTTGGGGTTTGGCAATCAGATCTCATCAAGAGTGTTGTTCTTTCTGCAAATGATGGAGACAAAGCCGCATGGGAAGCATGGCTACAGCCGGCTATTCGACCAAATCCTGACATCGAGCTATTAAATGACAGTGGAGGGCAACGCTATCAGTCAATCGACGCCAAGTTGTCAATTGCATTGTCAAATGTGATAGCCCAAGCCGGCGATGTTGCTCGTCATGTAGCGATCAAATTGAGATTGAGAACACAAAGTCATAGTCGAAGAGGAACCTATGTCATGGGACGGGAAATCTTGGCTATGATCCTGGAGCACTTCAGAACTCCAGGTCAACGAGAGACAGCCTTCACCATGGAGCACATCGTATCGATGAAATATCTCGGTGACTCAAACCTGGAAGTGTTCTACGAGAAATGGATGGAGATGGTATCAAACATGATGCCGGATGATGTACCTCCTGATGATTGGCTTCGTGATGCTCTATACAAGAAGATTCGAAATTCGAGTCTTATGATGTTTGACATCAAGCAGTACGAGTCATGGATTGAAGGAGATCAAAGACGAAACTATCGCTATCTATTGGACGTCATCGAAAGACACATCTCCAGAATTAGAGAGGACAAGCATGTGGCCGCTAGAGAGAAGTACGCAAGAGACTTTGCAGGTGGCGGCAAACCTTCAGCTCCTGCCCCAAATCCAACTGCTGCTGCACCAGATGCAAATCCAAAAGCGAAGCCTAAAGCTACTCCCAAGGAGAAGGCAGCACCCAAGGCGAAGGCCAAGGCCGATGCAGCTCCAGTTCTACCATCACCTCAGCCTAAACAGCATGCAAAAGGGAAAGGAAAAGGTCAAGGGAAAGGAAAGGATCGAGCAAACAGCCGAAGTACCAGCCCCAGATCCAAGAAGAAGATCCCATGCCATTTCCATTTCATCAAGAAATCATGCAGGAAAGGCAAAGACTGTGAATATAGTCATGATCAGAAGGTGTTCGATGCGAACAAGAACGCAAAAGGGAATGGTCGGAAGCCAGGAACTCCAAGAAGTCAATCTCCGGCAAACAAGACCAAGAAGGTTGACGAACCATGCTGGCATTGGGGCAAGTGTCGGTATGGAGACAAATGCAACAAACGCCACGATCCTCATCTATTCAATACTGCTCCGAACACCGAAGCACCAGGCTCAAAGGCTACTCCTGCACTTATCCATGATTGGAGCGATGACGAAGAGACGTTCCATAAGGTTGCATCGAACGTGGTCAAGAAGAAGGTCAGATTTGATGAGTCTGAGGCTCACGTTCAAACTTACGTAAAGAAGGACTTCGTGAAGTGCAGCCGGAAGTCCCAAACAATCTCCAAAGGTCATGGTAAAGTTGGTAAGCCCACTGATCAGATAAGGAAAGATGAACAATGGTCTTATTCATGCAGGTTAGCGTCGAGCCGAGGGAAAGCAATGGCTATTCTGATCGATGAGAAGGGTGAATACAGTGACATTGATGAAGTCCTGGTCATCGTCGGCCCTAGCATGGACATTCTGATCAGACTCGACATCGAGGACGGTGAGGTGTCCAGGGAAGTTTTTGTGGAAAACTATGTTCAGCATATTGAAGGTCGATATGGTAAAAGGGGCAACACAATGTGTATCACTGTTCCTGTTGAGGAGAGAGACAAGAGATTCATATTGGATTCTGGAAGTGGTCATGATCTCATTTCATCCACACGAATAAGTAGGATGGATCTCCCAACATATGATGACAAGGTCGTCAACTTCCATACAGCAAATGGGGTGACATGTTCGACCAAACGTTCAAGCATCAAGTTCGAGGCATTCAGTGAACCAGCAGAAGCTCACATCCTGGAGGACACACCCTCCGTGCTCTCCATGGGAAAGCGATGCGTTGATCTTGGTTACTCATTTGTATGGCCGACTGGAAGAACCCCATTCATGT